TTCTCTTTAGAAGTGGTGATCAGTTCTCAAAACAGTTTCTTATCTTTCTGTGAGGTTAGCATTCTCAGTACAGAGGAGGACACTGCACATCCTCTAATGTCAAGATGAAATTTATTTGCCCATATAATCTGTATATGTTTTGAGGCAATTGTCTTGGTAGGGAGGCACCTACTGGGATTTTCTTTAGCAGATAGTAAAAATACTGTGTAGATATGACATTCTTCTGTCACTAGTTAAAGTATGTGACGATATTCCCCAAAAAAATTTCTATGCAGAAGTTTGTGATTGAAAGAGAAAAATCCTGCAATACATGATATGCTTGCATTCTTAAGACAAAATAATAATAGCAACAACATGAATAGTGCTAGTAAGAACTTGAAAGCAATTTAGACTGATGGCTGCACTTTGTCCACATTTCAAACTGTTCTCTGATGTCTCCACCATGCCTTGACAATATGGTCAGTATTTCAGCTTTTCATATCATTCCCAGTCTCCCACTGAGGTCTGTGCACTGCATGTTCCAACCCTGTGAGTGCCTAGAGTCCCTTTCTAAAGTGTTTTTATGGCCCTTTAACAGATCCCTGTGGAACTGAGCATCTCGTAGTCTTTTAATGTGTTTTTTGTGACAGTGCCTTTGGGGTCATCGGGGAAATATTATCCCATTTTTTGCAGATGGAATGTATTAGGTTCCTTACAAAACACAGTGGTGGCAGTTTCTTTTAAAACATAGCTGCAACACATGGACACACTACTCCATCAGTTCACTCCATTAATCCTATACTCTCTGTTTAATGAATTTGTGTGTCTTTTGATGTAGGCAATGTCTTCATCTATCTCTTAGACAGTGCTTGATGAATAATAGTAGTCCTTCTTTCCCAGCCGAAAGCAGTAGTGAACTGAAATTTCTGGGGAGATGATTGCCTCTCTCCTTGTGAGAGTTTTCTAGATCTATTTTATACACTCAGGAGTTTCAGTTCAATCTAGTTAATTTCAAGTGTTGTACTGAACCAGCCTGAACGTCTGAGTCTTTGGAGCTTCATCTATTACTGAATAATGCAGCCGGACAGAGGGAGACAGTTGAATAGCAGTCAATATGCCAACTGTTCCTTCATTTGTTACTGCCATATTAATAAAGTTGATTGAGTGGAACTAATCCATCTGCTCACAATTTATTCCCTAGCAATAAGTTACAATTTCACTGTTTCATGAGCTCTCTCTTTGACTAATTTTATTAGAATTCCTTCCATAGCATCATTTTTAATCACTTTTCATCCAATTTTAATTATGTGTAAAATAATAGAAAAAGATGGACTAAAGAGACATAAAAGGATTTAATGAGAAACTTGGGTCACCTTAAATAGAACCAGATCAAATAAAGTCCAGTCAGTGAGCCTACAAAGACCAACAGAAAAGCGTTCAAAATTCCCTTTTTCACAGGAAGCTTTGTTCTGTCGTATCTAAAATGTAAACAGTCAAAAGAAATAAGGCAGCCCAGGCAGCATCATAAGATGAGGCAGGGCTGCTGTGCCTTAGGGGAGGTGGCTGGGTGACTTGTCAGGCTGATGGGCAACATCGGCCGAAGGACTGCAGAGTCAGAACTCAATGGATGAAGAGGTCTCCCCCATTCTTTGCTAAGAAATAGTGAATGAGGTTCATCTCATTCCGTAGCTCCCAGACACATGTGGGCTCTGGATGTTAAAAAGATGCAGGATTTGGGCTACAGGTTGGTTGTATGCAATGCTAAAATGAATTCCTGTGAGCTTAGTTATTTGTTCTCTTGTTGTTTAGTTTAAATCTTTCTGATATACTGATTATTAGTCTCATAGAGGTAGATTTGCTGGCTGCAATTTCAGTCATGAGTACCTAAGCAGAAATTACCTGTTTTTTAAAGTGTTGAGCCCACATTCCTATTGATCGCTAGGGATTTTAACACAAATGCAAGGACTTTTACTGAGAAAGCTGAGTGTACAGCCTAGATACAGCATCCTGGGTGGGAGTTTCCAAAGCATTCAATTTATTAGCATAAATCTACTTCCACTGAAAATTATGGCTTTAGCAACAACTTTGATGGACAGAGTTGGGTTATTCCAGAAAAATTCTGAAAATCCTGCCTTCCTATTTTTAAGTGCCTGCTTGAGCTGACAGGTAGCAGCAGCTGTAGATGCTAAAAGTAACTTTATTTTTTTGGTGCCACTGCTGGAGCACTGACCATTCAAATGAGCGCAGATGGAAAATTTGTCCCCATTTGGTATGGCTTTTCCTAGGAAAGTCATGGGCTTCTTATCTTCTCTCCTTTTAACTGCTTCCAGTTTGGTGGAAGTTTATAGGGTTAATCTGCAAGCAATTACTGCAATTTCAGAGTAATCATTCTTTCATTAGGGTAGAGGTGGTAAAAAGGTACAACAGCAATTAAAAATCCATTAATAGTTAAGTTAGATCTCTTAATCTAAAGCATAACTGCAACTACAATGGTATTTCCTGTATGACATTCATTCTATGATATTAGCTGCGTGTGTGGATCATCTTTCTAATGCTTTGGTTATCTCTCTCTCAGTCTCTCTCTCTCTACACATATCTCTATGATTTTAAAACTGGTATGTTGGGTTTTTTTTCAAAATTCATGTATGCCTGAGTGAAACTATGTATGTATATGTATATTTATGGATATGCATAAGTATATAATTGAGAGGAAGTACAGTGCAGTTATTGAGAACTAAGCTAAACAAACAAAATTCTTATTAAATCAGGCACCTAGACTATGAGTAAATGAAATAACGTATGCATCGATAGCTCCAAATTAATAATTTGATAAAATTGTAAAGTAATGGGGTCTAAAATCTGTGTGATCCTTAAAGGCTAGAACTTTATGGAGAATCAAGTTCACTGTATTGTGGTCTGAAGAGAAACAATTCTCATTTCACACAGCAGATTTACTCCAGAAATGTTCACTCTCTACGTATCAAGTGATGGTGACTGAAAGCTGTCTAGATGTACAGAGGAAAGCTTTATTCCTCTTTTATTTGCTAGCATCCAAAAAATCTTTCTTAAAGATAAAAGAAAGTTTACTAGTAAAATTCCAAGCCAGTCTTACAGAGTTGATTCTAACCGTGCACTGAAGTGCGTAGCGATGGGGAATTTTTCTTTTGATTCTAGTCCAGATATTTCAAGGGCCTTTTTATGTCTGCCTTCTAAAAATGCAGGTTTGCAGGGAGAACAGACACAGAGCAAGAGCTATCATTTAAGTTTAGATGTCTGGCTCTCATCTTTGGCATGAGTGATCTTTTGTAAACATACTTAAGGACACAAAATGTTTCATCTTTGGGCAAGGCAAGAAGGATGTCATGTCACTGCAGCACCTGAAGAAAACTTTAAAAAAATCACTGTTAGAGAAGCCCTTAATGTGGCGTACATTGAGGGAGCTGTGGTAAATCTGCAGTTGTCACAGTTTCATTTTGCACATTATATTAAATATGTCAATGATGACAAAGGACTGGTTTCCCAGAAAGGTATGGATGAAACAAATAAGTCTTGTTCAGTGATTCTCAGTCTCTCATGAGCCTATAGTTTTAGGTGTGAATTACATATTAAACACAAGCGGTGTCTTTTAACATTCATGATTTGCACACTTGGAAAACACAACGATATCAAAGGGAATCAGTGATGTAGTTTGACCTGTCTATTGATTGTGATTAGTAATAAACCAGCCACATGAAACTGTTGTTAATGATATTGTCCAAGGAATGCAATTAAAATCAATTTTGGTCTGTTTAAACACATACCCTGAGCAGAGGTATGAACAAGAAAATCCCTGTTAAGTTATTTTATGGCACTATGTTGAGAGCAATGGCAGCACATTCAGGAATTTTGGGCTTTCTTGTGAAGTCCTGTGCAAATTGTTTTACTGCAAGGTAGGAACTTTCTGATGTTAATGTTAGTTGAAGTAATACTGTCAAATAGCTGCACAGTGTGTCCAGACCCAGAGGCTCCAAGACAACTTCACAGTTTAATACTAGAAGATACCGTGCCATTCATTTTGTCATAACAGCTTTGCCTAGTTATAGAGCATCAAGCAGAGAAGAGGACAACTGCACAAAAATGACCTTAACCCTTTGAAGTCAGTGGGAAGATTATTTTTTAATTTTTACTATGAAGTTTATCAGAAAGGATCAAAATGTGAGAAACAGCTCCTTGTGAAGTGTGTTTGCAGTGTACACCATTGCATTAATGGTCTCTAGTTCTTTACTACATTCTGTTTATTTAATAACCAGTCCATATTTCTGTATCCAAGCATAAACATAGATCAAATATTTCCTTAACTAGAATGGGAAAAAGATCAGATTATTTTCTACCAAGAAAATCAATTAAAAGGTGAATGTTTTTAAACATCAATATGTCCATTATTTATTTTACCCTTCCAGTAGTGTCTGAGGTTTACAATGGATTATGTCTCCCATGACAACCCACAAGATTCTAGTTACAGTAAATCCTTTCCTTCAGTACCTCGAATAAGTTTTTGTAACCACTCTACTAGCTCAAACATTTTCTCTGTGAAATTTTTCTTTTTTCTTTCTCTTTTCCTTTATGCATCTTTATCTCTTGAACTTAATTTGGGGCATTTCATCACAGCAATGTATTCCATATGACTGCAGATATATATACAAAATTGCTAAGGGCCTATGGGTAGAGATTGTATGGTAAGTAGAGACAACATGACATTACATGAATGTTATATATGTTTGCCTTAACAAAATTTGCTTTAGCAAATGTAGTATCTTGCACATTTACTATGGATTGGGGTAATTTATTACAAAACCATTTTCTGAATGGAAAAAGAATTGTAAATTTCATATTAAAAATATATATTGAAGAGCAAATGATGAATGAATTGCAGAACCAACCCCAAATAATTTTTTTTCCTCTTTAAATGTCCTTGAAGAGGATTTCAAAGTCATATGGATGGATGCAGTGCTGTCATTTTCACAGATTTCATTTTAATTCAGGACTGTGGCTCTCGAATTCGTCCAGAGGAGTCCTGTGGCTTGCAGCCTCTGTCTCATGAATACCTCTCAGCAATTTCACAGACGGTGTTTAAGACCTGTGAAGCTGGAGACACAAAAGGTTGGTTCTTAATTCTCTTTCTTCTGAAAATTAACTCATTCACCTCATTAAAGTAAAACTAGAAAAAATGCTTCCTCTTTTCCATGAACATGCACTAACCTGATCATTTGTAATAGTTATAGATTTTTAAAATCAGGTTAATTAGTTTATGTGACACTTTTTGTTTAATAAGGTTCTAATCAGTGATCCACCACTGCTTGTGTTATTGTCATGTAGCCTTTAAAATGCATTGAATATTTCCATCAAAACCATTGAAAATAAAAATGCTCTATTCTAAATTGAAGACCTTACTCAAAATAAAAACTAATTTTAGAAAAAGAACACAACATTTTGATCCATTTGAACTTTATATGTCCACTTCTATACTGGAAACACACAAAAAAATTACAATTTAAAACAGTAAAGTATGTAGTTTTACATACATTGATACCTTAAAAAAACAAGATGGACAGATCAAACTTTATGCAATAACCAATACAATCAAGACATCTCCTTGGTTTAGTGAGAACCAAGATTACAACAGATCATCAGACAGGTATTCCTGTTTAGGACACAGCTGCATGAAGATTTATGCAAGTGTACAAATCTCAGTAATCCAAAGGAGTACTCCCGTATGCAGTCTTATTCATAGCTTAAATTGTTGCTGGATTAGACATTAAGTAATTTTGTTCAATTCTTTATCAGACAAATAAAAAATAACACAACACTCCTGTATGGTCTACTAACACAACTGTATTTTTTATCTTGCCATACATAGCAGCAGCTACTCACAACAGTGAATTTGCACAAACTCATGCAATAATCAATACAAAGTAAAAGGAATGTGGGATCTGCCTGAGTTCATTGCTTCATGTGAAACAGAGGCATATATTAATTTAGTGTTACATGAAGGGAATGCACAAAGGAGACACTGTTGTACCTGGGAGTGTGTTTTAATCACACAGCAAGTTGTGACTCAGAAGGAAGCACAACCCATCCTATGCTACTATACCAGGACATAAAGTTCCTGACTGGAAAGCCTAAACCAAACCCGTAGAAGAGCCCTTCTGGAGCAGACAATCTGTTTCTCCTGATATACAACATGCTTCTTTTGAATACTCTGTCTAGCTAAGTGAAGCTGAATATAAAATATCTTTTACAGCCTTATTGCAAATAATATGCACAACTAAAATGGAAACATATTACAAATAATATACATAATTAAACTGGAAACAAACTTCAGGAGATGTAGTCTCAAAGGACAAGTATATTAAACAGGGAAGAGTAATTTCTGCTTATAAATTGAAGATTGCCAAGAGGTGTCTGATGAGCCTAGAACTAGAACTGGGGTTTGCAGTATTTGGCAACAAGCGTCAGTATTATTTTAATGTACGTCACAACTTCCAACTGGAACTGGAAAGCATGGCTTTTTGTGGAAAGTCATTCCGAATTTGTAACAACCGGATGATATCCCAATCCTGGCAGTGAACATTTTCCTAACACATATGGGAGCAATTGCACGTTCCCAGCTAAAGCAGCAACATCTCTTTTATTTAAATAAGTTAAATTTTCAGAGAAGCCAAGCAATGCCATTTCCTCTTAGAAGAGAACTCAAAACTTCCCCAGAAGTAAGGCAGTGTCATACACTGTTCTTACACTGGGGAACAGCTTAGTTCTATCGGGATGCTGAGGTTCTATTGCAGCAAAATGTATCTGTGCTGGCAAAAGCATGTATTTGTGCAGACATAGGCAGAGGCTGAGGCCAAACAGCAGAGACAGAGATGAAACCTTACTTCTTCTGGCATTAAAGGTAAAACTTAGAAGTCTGCTTTGCAGTTCAGTACAACCAGGATTTTCTGCTTCATTTCTAGTGTTTTGATGCAGTGCAGAGACAGTAGTTCAGGGTCTAACCGAAGGCAGAACTGGCTGCCTCCTGTCCTGATCACCATGGCACTATTCTTTGGAGGAAGCTCAGTGTCTTACCAAATATGCACTTAATTTACACCATTTCTTTCTCTCTCTCTTTTTTTTTTTTTTTTTAAATCAATAAATACAAATTGGAATATTCAACAGGGGAAGTTTCTCCCTTTCCATCTTATTTGGATCATGGAATGAAGTTATGACTTTTATTGCAACAAAAAACTAGATGATCTTTAGGGTCCTTTCCAACTCAAACCATGAAAAATCCTTTCTCCTTCAGAAAATCTCCTTTGCTTCAATGGGGTATGAACCAGGCTGTCATAGGAAAAGTAGCTCTTGGTTCAGTATTGCTATATAATCAGCAATACAGAAATCAGCACGCTCTAACCATATGTTTGGGTCCTCAGAGAGAGAGAACTGATAGAGACCATGAGAACCCCAAGTTGTCCTAAATTCCTGCAGGTGAATCAGGCTACTGCGGTGTGTGGAAATTTGTTTTGCAGACGATTACAAAATCTGGTGGGTAAGAGAATACAGCTTCACTTCTAATGTTCTGCCTCGCTGCTGTGACATATGTGTCTTAGTTTTATCCAGTTTAACATAATTCTATACAAGCCTTCTCTTTGCATTCAACAGCTATGTGGATTTAGGTCCAGCAGAGATATAAACTGATGTTCAGCTAAATGAGTGTCTCCTTTGATTACAAAGAGTAAATTTCAGTTTGGACATAAGTTTGTAGGTTTAAGGTCCTTTATTCTGTAGAATCAAAATAATGTCCTTTTAAAAATGATTATTTTTTTTTGTTCACAAATGCACCTAAAAGAAAAAAAAAATCTTTACCCTATTCATGGAGAAAACGGTTTTTAAAAGTCTTAAGATACCATATAGACACCAATTGTAAAATTAAACTAATAATAAATCAAGAAACTAACATCAGTCCAGATTAAATATTTAAATTTGGAGTCATCAGTTCAGCATATTTCTTTTTTTTATATATATGGATAATTTTTTGGCACTGTAGAAGAAAATTGATTTTGAACTTGAAAGCAAAATACATATATTTGTGGATATGACAATGGGAAAAGTTGAATAAAAATAAGAGGCTGAAAGACCTACCCAGAAGAAACAATACTATCAAATTAAGTGTACAACCTTTATTAGTTAAAAGTTTTTAACTTTAGGCTAATATTTTCAGATACAAGGTAAACAGTCCTAATGAATTTTTTTAAAGTATATTTCTTTTCATACCATTTTAGGAGAATTGTTTGTAGGAGCACTGTCAATGTTTAGTCTCATATCTTACACAGAAGATTTATGTATGCAACTGATAAACTGATTTAATGAGTCAAAAATCCAGTTTACTTTCACTCTTCCCGTGGAAACCTCTTACTTAGAGGCTTTCATAAAACTTTGTTTTTACCAGTTTTTAATTTGTGAATAAATTTAAATTAACAGCTGCTCTCTCTTTCTTGCTCTCACTGAGTTGTAGGTAAACTTTCCTTCACCTGGTAGAGACAATACTAACTCTTTTAGCTGAAGCACCACAAAATGCAGGCTGAAATGGTGCTGAAAGCTATGTTGCATGCTGTTACCTTATATAAATGGGAAGAAACCCCAGCTTATAATTGTCATAAAAAATAAGCTTAATTTCCAAACTAGTATTGATTGTTTGCAATTTTCCATTGTTAATTGTCTTCCCCTTTTATATATGAGTGTAATCTTTTAACACAACCTTTTTTTTGAGGGTTAGGAATGCACTGACTAACTGTTGTGAAGTTAGAATAGGAAAAGTTAATAATAATTGGATTAAAAATGCTTAAATTTACATGCATCATTTAAAAATCTATATAAATATAAAACCTGCAACTATTCTACTAGGATTAAATGTCAGTGCTTCCTATAACATGACTTTATCTCCATATATTCTTGTTCTCTCATTGTTTTACATTTTGCACTAACCCTTAGGACATGCCAAAAATGGATCTATTTTTTCTTAATATACCAAGAGAGCTATTGAATATAAATCAAACACACTATTTGAAAGAAGCTTTTCCAAAACTACTTATCGCTTTCTGTTGCCAGAGTTTAAAATTTTATTGTTCAGATGTTTCAGCACCTCAATATTCATTTTATATAGTTCTACTTTTCTAGTTTATTACCTAAAACCAGATCAGCTCATAAATGTATGGGATGTTAAGAATAAAATACCATAAAATGAAGGATCTCAGATGTTGCAGACATTGCCAGAACTTTTATGTATTTGGTCTGAAAGAAAAATTACCATGTCAGGAAAAAACTGCCTGGTTTTCACATCTTTTTTGAATGTAATGGTAGTCTGAGTCCAGATCTCAAACCCACCAACCACTCTGTCCCTACTCTGTTACTCAAAAGACACAAAGCAGTAAAAGGTGTTTGCACAGCACCTATTGCTGTGTTACCTGAGACCTTGCACTTCTCAGTCTCTCTGTACGACTGCCATGAAGCTGGGAATGACCCTTTTGCCATTGATTGCAAACGAGGCACAGAGGGAGCTAAGGGCAAGTTCCACAAGTGGCCACAGAAATCTTGGAGGGTCAGACTGCGCCTGGCCCTGTGATGAACAAGAAGCCACAGCCTGGAGCGAGGGACCTCAAAGCCGAGGGAGGGCCAGCATGAGGGAGGGATTGACAACGGAGAGCACTGGAAGCTGCAAGAAAGAGAAATTGTCCAAATTCAGCCCACAGTTTCCCACCTGAGCAGGATGTTCAGTGGGAAGAGCACTCCCTGCTCTGGGTTGTCTACTTTGTACCTTTAGATAGATTCACTTTAACCCCTAGATAAGAAGTCTGCACAGAATCTCACTGAGGGACCAAAGTTTGGATCTCTCTTCTCCCAAATAAATCAGCACGTTACACTGACGCTATTTTGCCATCCTAATGAATTTTAAACTCTAAAGCAGTCCTCAACTGACTAAATTAGTGGGGAAAGTTATCCTTAAGGACAAACAGCTAGGTGATGAGGACACAGGTGAAACAAGTTTGGAACCTCTCTGGGCAAGGAGCACTGGGCAGCTCCATCTCCCCTCTTGCCACCTGGCACCACGGGCTGAGCACCCCTCCTTCCTCTCCTTATGCCGTGCTGAGCCGGGCTGCCTACCCTGCCGCAGCCTTCAGGAGGCACCCATGAGAACCAGGGGAGCTGTATTGTCCTCACTGATCCACAGCATGGTAAAGTTAGTGTCCAGGCTTTTGTTTAGGTCCAGTCTGCCGTTACTTGCTCCACATCATCTGCAAGTGCAGGTGAGGGTGGGGTGAGGGTGTTCTGCACGGGGCCGAAGCAGTGGCAGCTGTGCAGGCTATGCAGATGGAGCTGCGCGGTCGTAGCACCGTGGGATATATTCTACTCTTAGATGTATCAGTGCAGGCTCCCATTCAAACAATTCTTGATGGTTTTGTTTAGAAGGACTTTTTTTACCTGCTAAGGTAACTCACCCTGCTAATCACCAAAACATATTTGCTCGGGACTTTCTCTGCGTGCAAGCGCAGGCTGCCTCCTGGGAATTCCCCTGCTCCCCAGGCAGCAGCTGTCTCTCCCAAGGCCACTGGGATCCTGCGGCATTGCTTCACTCAGCCTCCCACTCAGTCCCTGGCCTGGGAAACGTTGATAGGCAGCAGCCTGGGTTTTTTTGCTGTGGCTTCTTGTGTGGCAGCAATCTGTCACACGCAGTGAGGCACACAGCCTGGCTGCGGAGCTGCTTCCTGGGAGTAGTGATGGTCACAAACTCTAAGACCAGAACAACTCTGCAAACATTTGCTTTTGGAGCTGTTTGCTGGGCTGCAATGAGAAACCTGGCTGTGCTAGCAAGGCCTGGTGGCATTGACACAAGGATCTGGGGGCTTCTGCACTTTTCCTTGTGTAACGCCTTTAATCAGAGGCAAAAGCAGGTTTTGCTGGCAAAGCTACATAGACACTGAGAAGTAGTGTCAGGAAGGTGCACTTGTGTGGATGAGAAAAGTGTTTCTTGTGTCTATCTGAATAAAAAGGCAATTTAAAAGTTTTCTCTCAGCCTTAGGTAAGAGATACCGAAAGCCCACTGAATTGTTGTAATCCCACTTTATGTTCCTAATCTGTAACATCATTTTTGAAAATAGGGATTGGCCTCTAATAAATCACATAAATTATTCATCTCGCCTTACTTTCACCATCTGAAATGTGTATGTGTAGCCTGGGATGGTTCTCTGAAATCTCACAAATTAGAGAAATTAGTATTTTCAAGGGAAAGTAATCTTCTTTCATTATCTGTATAATCTTAGTTTCCTTTTTCTATCAAGGGGGTCTCAAAATCTAGCTTCAGTCAACCACACAACTTTCAGACGTTTAGTGGTAGAAGAGAATGAATCTTGTCTTTAGACACTTCTTAATGTGCATTTAATTTAGGGAAAACTCCCATGACAAAATACGTTAAAATATCTTGCTTGCTGTGTGATAAGGCTACTCACAAAAATACAGAGGAGATGCTGACATCTCATTACTCTTTTCCAGGGCAGTGGATTGTCCCTTGTCTCAGCTGCTCTGACAACAGGACCTGTGACTGGAGAGAAATAACGTGGCAGCCCCACGGCTGCCGATACTCTGTGCTAGCCAAGCCTGAGCTCCAGCGCTGTGTGGAGGGCAGAAGGGTATGTAACAGAATTTACATTTTAAATTATTTTTATTCACCTGGATATTTAGTGTCCTGAAGCCATGAAACTGTTTTTATAATTGATGTGTAAGAATAATCCTTTTTTGTTATAATTGGAAAAAGATGTGGATGGAAAATCCACGGGGACAAAACCACCCATTATCCATAATTTAGCCTCATATGCAGTCACAGTTGTCTGCTGACGTTTCGCATAGAGCTTAGGTCACACCAGTGAAGTTTCAAGACCTGTGGAGTATGTGGTTACCAGTTAGTCCTGCAGTGAGTATATCAGGACTGTAAATGGAGGATGGATTTACATTGTTGTCACAGATTGTCTCACACTTGACATGCAAGTTGGGTTTCTTCTGCTGCATACCTAATGCATGGCATTGCTTGTGCACACTAATCTTACCAAGTCTTCTTGCACATTCTTTTCTTGTAGTGAAGCTTCTAAGGTGGTTGCTTGGAAATACAAGGTCTCCTTAATAAGCATGCTATGACTGTAAAACTGTTGAGAGAGCTCTGATCTGAGGCTCAGGTACCTTACTGAGGATACAAATATCCAGAAAGTAAGTAATTAATTGTTATAAAGAGTTTTATAGTGTATTGTCTAGGTAAGAAAATAGTAACTAAAAGTGTCACTTTGATAAAATCTGAGAGCATTTCTATACAGACAAATACAAAAATAATAGTCTTTCAATTAACATTTCCTCCTCCTTTTGTGGTCATTTCTTGTCCTGCACAAAGTTCTTCATTAACATTTGGCTTTACTTCTGTCTGTGGTTTGCTCCATTACTATAGAGCTGTGGGTTTCTCCTAACATATTTTTTTTGAAAAAGCATAGGTTTATATGACAGAGGAGAAGCTTGATTTGCACGTCATGTACAAAACCAGCACTTCTGGATTGACCACAACAAAAAATATAGATGAATTTTATAGCTTTGCTTCGGTCTTTAATTTCATAGACATCAGACTGCTTCAATAAGCAAACACCCTTTGGTCAGACAATTGGAGGATAGCAGAGGAATGATATGCCACTAGGGAAGTGGATTGCCAAGGTATTGCTCAGAGAATTGTGCTGACGTTCCCACCTCCTGAATCCGACCACTCACATTCACCGGTATCAAAACCAGGACAATGTTAAAACAAAGAATGTGAAATGAATGTTTGTGAGCTTGATTTCTTAATTTGAATTCCACTATGTTCTGACTCTCTGAGGTCACTGATCTGAGCCAGGTCCTATGTGACCTACATTAACACCATGCGAGGAAAATCTCAGTAGAACTAATTGCACTTGTTTCCCATTCTGCATCTTTTGCAAAAGTCTTCTGTCATTGTCTGATAACCTTTACTGCTTTGTAAAAATCTGCTAGATAACTTCTGTTACCTTTGCATAGGTGTCAATTTAACTGGATTATTCTTTTAAAGTCATCACTCTAATGCATGTTCTCATTTTGGTATACTTCTGTATCTTTCTCTCTGATGTTATTTTTGTCATCACTTTGCAGTGGTTTTAACTTTGTGGGGGATTTTGCAATAGCATTTTTGCTTCTTTCACCAAACAAATAAATGTAGAGCCTGGATCAACTCCCTCGTGTCAGCAGAACCTAAGAATGTAGAGAGTCTTTCTTCATACCTAAGCCAGATGAGTAAAAATGGTCTTCAGTGTGGGTGATAAGGTCGTGATTCTGTCTGTGATTAAGGCAAACTTCAGAATTACTTTACACGGTATAAGCGATGTAATAGAAAAAACATTTTTTGGGATTGTCACTGAAAGAGACTTTTGCCTGTTAGTTGTATTACATTCTATTATATATGTTTAAGAAAGCTGGATCTTTTATAAGGAAGCTATTGAATGGACAGTGAGTTGTAATTTTTGTGAACAAATGCATTTGTATTACACAAGAGATTTTGGTAAACCTCTATAAATATTGTATTTGCTATTTTTTATATTAGTTTAAAGCCATTATATACCTTGTCTTTAAGTACTACAGAGATCACTGACTTCTACACAATAAAGATAATATAAAAGTAAAATAAGCTGAAGGTTTCAACACTGTAAACATACTGCAAAAAGAGAGAGTTGCAAACCATAAAGGGAAAAATCATCAGCCCAAACGAGGACACTGAGATGATCTAGAATGCTGTTTGATTTATATTGTCATTTGCTGAAGTTTGATAAGAACAACAACTCAGTCATGAGTGTCCATTTCTCAAAATATACTTTTCATCAAAATGCTAACAGCCCTCTATGACTGAATTTCTCTTCTGAATACTCTTCATAAAAAGTTCAGAGTCATGCGAGGTTCGACCAGGAATCAAAGGCAAAGCAAGTAGTGGTATTTGTGATTCACTAGACTGAAGACTCTGAAAAAAAAAAAAATTAATTTGTTTTCAGTATTTTGACCTGCTAGCTTTACTTCTTAAGGTTAAAATGTCATTATAAGATATTATAAACAACGTAAGTGTCTGTGATTATGTCTTTTCTTTTAAACAGGAGGTGTTAATCACTATGCTGCTGCCAAATTCCAAATATGATAACTGCAGTCTGTTTTCTTATACTCCCCTATTAGTTTTATATGTAAAAAAAAATAAAAAAGGATAAAAAAAGCCTACTTGTCTTTCTACTTCTAATGACTGCGAAGGGAAGCACGCAATGAGTTAACCACAGCTGTGCAGTGCCCCTGGACTGGGTGCACTGCAGCAACTGATGAAATAAGATGTACGGTGAATGCTCTTTTTGACTGAAATGCAGCACAAGTAAGATCAACTGAATATTTAAGTGCAATCATTCTGTTTTTCCCATGTTTCATAGAACAACTGCAAAATGCAACATTCAGCTACATCTCTTGCTCATTAATTTTTTCTATGCATTTGTCAATATTTCTGAAATATGTTTATGGTCACCCAAACAAAACACTTCCTTCCTATCTACATCATAAATGAGCCTTCAAAAATGTTTTCTAATTTGTTTTATATCTCCAGGCTGCTCTCATATTAAATTTTTTTTTTTTTCAGAGCTCACCTCTAAACTTACCATCTCCGTCTACAATAAAAATTCGTTTTCCCTGGCTATGACTTCCAATTGATTTCACATCATCATTAACTGCTATTTTAATCTGTGTGCATATAAAACTGTGTTTGGGATAAGTTGTTTCTCTTTCATAAAAACCTGAGACCACCTGTAGTGAAACAATAACAGTCAGACTGGTGGGGACATGAGAAAGAATATACATCCACAAAAACAGTTCATGAGGCCTTATTTTGCTTTATGATGTGTTAGTAAGACTACTCAGTCATGTGTCTGTATTTCAGACACAGTAAACAGGAAAATTTTGAAGTGTTGAGACTAATGTGATTCTGACTGAGTAGATTTTCATTCAGTCCACTTTTAATATCAGCTGTCCCTTTTCTCCTCCATTTTAAACTCTAACTAGGGGTAACGAGACGCAGGCTGTGTTGTTCTTAGGGAACGCTACATGTGTGCCCTAATTGAGTCAATGAAATAGGCAATCATAATAAAAGTATTATATCTGTATTGTATTGGCTCAACAAATTCCTCTGTAACTGTGGTTTATGAGTTTTTGCTGTAAGATTTACACAATTGTATTAAGGCATGATGCTTTGGTTTTGTACAAGAACTTTAAAAAATGGGTGAAGGAAAAGGGGTTCTAACAGGTAATTATTTATACAATTAGCAGCATATAGAAAGCTGGCCTCAATAGCAGGGGGGATATGTATTTTGTTTATCATTGAGAAATACTACTCAGAGTTTAGTCTTATAAAAAAGTACTATTGAGTCATGTGTAATTAAGAACAGGAAATATGAAAAGGCAATATTTGCTGAAGTACTTAAAATTCAGCTGTTAAAACAGGACTTTTAACTTATAATTTCTTAATAATATTTTAAAGTTAAGTAGTGTTTTGGACTTACAGGTGTTTAAATTTCCTAAGTGTGGTTAATTTATAATGATAGGTCTGGTTAAGAAGTAAATTCCACTATGCTTACACAATCTTTTAAAGCCTGTAAGCTATAATGGAATTTTTCACACAAAACCGTTGCAACAGAAGACACTGAAAACATCTGTCTGCGTGAAAGTGTTGTTCTTTGTCTGGTAAAATTATAGCCTTATATATGTCTGATCCTTTAGTCATCCTGCAGACAAATGCCCCATTGACCTGAACAGTACATGACTAAGCCTTGTGCCAGACTGTAAAGAAAATGAGATATGGCATATTGTACACACCTGAGACATCATTTTGCTCAATATTGTCATAGAGCTAAATACAGAATCATCCCCAGAGCCCCTGGTTCAAATCATATTAAACACTACATCGCATGCACAACTATAGTAAGTTCATGTAATGGTATAGAAATAAATATGGCCATAGCTACCACACATTCAATTATGTTGAATAATTATTCTAATTCATCTAAGCTCTTGGCTTAGTTGAAGGACATAAGTTTTTTTCCTGGGGCTGTACACCACTTACTTTAGCCTTTGGGTCTTCCAAGCATTTTCTGTAAATGAAGCTGACTTGCAAAAGGTGTATACTTTGAAAGATGCCTTCTGATCGTCTGCATACCGCAGCAAAATGTGCTTAACCAGCTCTGCACATGGGCAGTTTGAAAAGCTACTTTGCAGGTAGGATTCCCTACAAAAGTCCTGTTTTTCCATATGGAATTTTTTTAGGGAGAAGAAAAAGAAGAATTTGTCTATTTTTCCAGGATTTACACGTCTCACAGCACAGTTGCACCAATAGTTAGAAGCAGATTCTTGGATGCAGACAGGTCTTAATGAATGGATGCTCTGTGTGTGCAGATTTGCAGGTGTTCTCTAATTTTGACATAATAAAAAAATGGGAAAGAGGCCAATGAGTCGATAGCAGTGTTTGATGCTCTGCAATGTTTGAGACTTTGGAAAGATTTAGAATATCACTTCACTCTTAAATTGCTAGAGAATACACAGAGTTGGCAAAACACACCACTTGTGCATCACATCCATTGGCCTTGGCCATGGTTCTTCTCTCCTTTTTTTCATGAAGGGTATTGTTCTGCTATTTGAATTCAGTGTCAGATGAGACTAAACCAAATACAGTCAGAAGGAGAAAATATCTATAAAAGTCTTAGTCACAGCAGAATGAAGACTGAGATAAAAATGCCCCATCTGCCATATCACTGTAATTTATGGCTGAATACACTTCTTTGCAATTAGAAAACCCCATGGGCAGTGATAACAAAATGGTATCGTGTGTTATTAGAAGCAGAAGAAAAACAATCTAGAATGTTCTACCAACTGCTCTATGTGTGTAACCTGGTAGAGAGCCTGTTTGTTATTCTGCTAATGATGTTCTGTGTTTTTATAGAAATGTTCTCACCCACATTGCAGGTTAATGATATCTTTGCCTGCTAAGATCTGAGAACTGCTTTTTAAATAGATATACATCTAGATACCACAGTGATGGACTTATGAAATGGAGATTAAAGAGACATGGATATAGACAGATTGGAGAGATTAAGAGATTTTGCAAGTTAAAAGAATTGTTTAAAACCTCAAGTTAACCTACTTTAGAATTAGGACACATTGTAAGCATGGACTGTCGTCCTAATTGTAAATAATTGTGTGCATGTTTGTGTCTGTCAGGGAGGGAGAGACTATCAAACCAGTCCTTCCAAGATTCCAAGGATCCTTGACTTCTGAGAGTCATGTCATACTTGGTTTAAAGGGTTTCTTCTGACACAATGTGAAAAGAATTGGAAACCCCCTTGCATGTGAGAGAAGTGCTTATGCAGTCCAAGCATGAACAGCACCTGTTTAAGAATTTGCTCTATGAAACAGCTTTGAGAGGCCCAGGACAGGAGGTAAAAGAGCCTCTATATGCTCAGTGTGTGTTTTACTTTGTTTGCTACCATACATAATCTATCAAGGGGTTCTCTGCAGCCCGCAATGGGCAAGGCATCGGAAGTTCAAGTCATTGTCATGCCCATTCTTGGCCCTGACACCACATCAGGGTATGTTAATCTGAAACTGCTTCTGTTCTATGGGAACCATCGTTGGTACACTGTTATGGCTTGTTTTTACTCACAAGAGGTTCATACTGGGAACTGGAATCAGTTCCTAAAACTGTGACATTCCTGAAGGGCATAGGTAAATAGCGATGTATTAGATGAGAGAAATTCAAGCTGTTTTCACCACATAAAATCTCTAAGAGAAGCTTTGGAAATGTGTTCTTAGACAAGTAATCTTGTGCAGTCTGAATTTTATTTGCATAACCAAATATGCAAGGTGGAAGTGGTAAAGCATCAAACCCCAAATCAAATTAAAAAAACAAGCAACAAAAACCCAACTTGCAGGGTGCTAACTATCCCAAGTGCCAGAGGAGGCAGGAGAAGTTGCATACTGCTTTGCAGAGAACAGGGCTATTACTGTGTTATGGCTCTGTGGGGTTTCTGACTCCCATTTTTACACTTATGCCCCTCTGTGGATATCTGTCTGAGGTGACTGTGGTAGTAACTGATTACTCACACAGTTTCATTGACAAACCACAGTGAACCTGAGTTCTCTTCCCCTTTGGACTCTTGGCATTGTTTACACATTCTCTTCAGCAACCTATCCACTAAAAATAGGGCAGTTGCATTTAAAAACCCTACACGTTAAGTTCTGTGGTCTCCACATAGAGAGGTGTTTGATTTGTCAGGGGAGTCTAAGGAATGAGTAGGAGCAAGCTCAAATTTAACTTCTTCATTAATTTGCAAGCTCAGGGTAGCCCAATGAAGACTGCTGCTACTTGAAGTACTTCTGTCATCATGACAGCACCTCTAACTCCCTTCAGGCCACAGTGCTTCCCGGTGGTCATCTCACACATGCCAGGACTCTATTCAGATTATCTGCCACCAAACTAACCCTCCTGTTTCCCCCTCTCTGAAAGGGCAGAAAGACCATCTCTCTACGAAAAAGGCAGCAGCTGCATTCATTGGTGTGTGTGTTACTTTGGTGTAAATTCTAATGAATCAAGTTTATGGAAGACAGACATTAACCAAGACGTGCTGTGTAGGAACAAACCACATGAAAAACTGGAGGAACGAAAGCAGGAAGCTGCAAGCAATTACAAGAGGCTCTGTGCTAGCAATTGGAAGTAAATAAGTAAAAGAAATTACCAACAAAGATGAAAAATGCATGACTAACTATGCAGCTGTAGCTACCTATAGCCTATGCTTTTTGTCTTTGAAACACATAATATAGCTTTTTGTTAATCAGATCACACAGATTTTGGTAAGGAGAACTTTAATACTGAGATGTCAGGGCTGGAGAACTGGCAGCTCACAGAAATATTTCTTGAACATTATGAGAAGGGTTTATAAACCTCAAGACTATCTGTATTTTTTTAGTTTTTGGTTTTTGGAATGTGCAACTTCTAAGTCATATCTTTTTTTGCATCCAAAGATTCTTTTTATAGGTGACTCAACTAACAGAGGGATGATGTACTATCTAATACAAAGAGTGAATAAGACTCTTCAGGAGTGGCAAAAGACTCATGATGTTAAATCTTATCATAACATCAATGAGGGGAAAACATTTATCAGTTATTCCTACTATCCCCAGTTCTGGATGAACGCAAACCAGAGACCAACTTTTGAAAAAGCTCTTGAACAACTGCTGCAGAGGTATAGTACCAACTTGATTGCTGGCTTGTTTGTATTCTTATTCTATTTGTAAAATGTGCTTAACACATTTTACAATTGAAGTCAGTAAACATTAAACATAACGTGTGTAGACTGTATTGTGTGGTTAAAAAATAGTAGAAAATTACATCAGACCTCTGATTGGGATGCCAGATACAGTTCACTGAAATGTAATGCAATGCAGTTAAAATGTTTGCCATCTGTTTTAAGGCAACATGTGTTGTTTTTCCATTCTGGGTTTCAGATCACGTCCCCTGGAGAACACAGACCAGACCGTCTTAATTGTAGGTGGCGTTCAGTGGCTTAATTCCAATCACCTGCAAATTATCCAAAAGGTGTTGAAGAGGTAATATTATGTACTTGGTGTTATTCCAAGTCTTGATATGACAAATTATGAGAAACAACTTCACCAAAAAATTTTAAATACAAACATTTCATTTGTTTTCTCATGAGTGTGCACTTAGCTGACTTTCAAAAAATAAAAATGAAGTGTCTTTTGATGTGTCTGTTAAGTAAAATGTGTATCTTTTTTTTTTTTTAATTATTTGCCAAACAGGGAAAATCTATCAAATATCCTGGTAATTATCAAATCCATAGGGATGGGTTTTCACCTGCCAGTGGATGGAATACATTCTCTGTCACAGGTAAGCTACAGTATGTTTAGAGTCCATTTTCATGGAAGACTTGTCATTTCAGCAATAATTTTGCAGTCTGGTCAAAATATGTTTCAACCTCTGCTGAGCAAGCTTTAAGTGAATCAAAGGAAGGATAATGTTTATATTTGCTCATATGGCTTGCTGATGTGGATTCAAACCGATGTGCCTTATTTCGTGGATTCCGCTGCAATCAGAACACAGTTTGAGAAGCTGTGCTCAGTCAGCCATCCCAGGAACCAGAAGAAGCGCTGACATTAAGTCTGCTGCCAAAGTTGAGAAATCGAGCTGGGGATAGGCAGATTGCTCCTCGTACCACGTCAAGCACAGGCCCTCCCCAGGCTCCCTCCATAGTTACTCCTGGACCAGCTTCACTGGTCTGGCTCCATTGCATGGTTCTCCATAAATCTATCTCAACCAGCCTATGAAGCCAGAACATTACAGAGCAGCTGGAATGTACTGGTGAATCTAGCCTGTTATTTGTATGTTAATGGGATGTTACAGTCAGTTTAAATCATGTCCAAGACTCTCAGAGTAACAGATGGGCTCATTTCAGTGAGCTAGTAACTCATTCCATTCAACATTTTTATTTACAATTTGGATGGTTGTTCTCTGTTGAACCTGTATAAAATGCCTGGATGAGACGGGGCTGGGAAGCGCCGGAGGGCAGAATGGAGTAAATGATGCCTACCAGCACCACGTGTAATGCTCCATGTATTCACAGGTGTTGAAAAGAGAAAATTATTAGCTTTCATAGTTTACATACAGCACTCCTATCACACTGGAGACTGGCACCCACATCTTTTTGCAACCATGACTCACTGCTGTATTCAGCGTGTGACTGCTGCTCTCACCCTTCTTTTTGCTATGGAGACTGCACTGTCAGAATCTGCCCTTTCTTTCTAAGTTAGCACTATATGCCTTGTCTCTACCAAGTGTCTTCTTATTAATTCCAACCATTTCCTTAATTTACCTGGATGACTAAATTGGGATACATTCAGGAAATTGTTGGCATCAACATGAAGAAGTGTTGTAGCTCCTGCCATAGCTTTCAGCAGAGTTCAGTCCTAGGAGGAAGAAGCAGAACTTCGATCGAAGGCAGGTGAGGCAAGGATAGAAAGAGCATTAAAGGCTTTCCAGGACTGTGTTTTTCTGTTTCTCATCCAGTAAATTCATAAACTCCAGAAATCAACTCCAGTGCATAACCGATGTTCTTTTCCCTTTCAATGTTGGAATTATATGCCAGATTACCCATGTGGTTTGGGTGCTCTGGATGTCTGGATCACTCCAGCTACTCTCAAAGCCTTTCTGTGTGCAGTGTCAAATCCACTGCCTTGACAAATTTATGGCTAACTTTTTTTCTATTCCCGGCCTTCCTACAGTATTTTGAGAAACAATAATCTGTTCTTCAGTACAATCATTTCTAAGGTACCCATGGCCCTTTACTCATTTTAAGCAACAGTCTCAATGACTTTGATTTGAAGATGAATTTTTCCTTACAGGAGCAATTTCACCATTTATTAGAGACAACTTTATAATGGAATTTTTTTTTCTGAGTTGCACCCCATATTAGCTAAGTACATACTAAAAAGAGTTACCCAGTAATTATATTTTAAACAACACTGAAGTCTTCCTATGAAGGAAGCTGCACAACTACTGAAAAGTAATTATAATTTCTGAAATAATCTTCAACTGTCTTGGAGTAATAGCTATTTTCAAGAATGAATTTATAGTAATTAATGTCTGGAGTATAACATAATTGCTTTATTAAAAATGCAGTTTTCTTATTCATTTCCATGGCAGAATGCAATAACCTTTTAACAGTCCTTCTGACAAGACATTGCAATATTTTGTCTGGAATGCAGGCAGAAATGCAAAACTTGTGGAACGAAAACTTGATTATTCTGGATACGGCAAAAAATTTTGGCTATGAAGTAGTTGACACCTTTGTCATCACCATGGGACGGTACAAAGAATTCCTGCAAGGGAAGTGCGGTTGCCATTTCCATGAGGTAATAGTTTATGCTTATGTCATTCCCAGGTATTTAAGAGAGATTTTAACTGTCGGGTGCTTAGAAATAAAAAGTTATGCAGCAAGGTTCACAGCTGTCACTCAAAGTTAGGCCTGAATAAAAACCGCAGAGATGGCAGTTTGCACAGCAGCACTAGTGCCTCGCTGCTCAGAGTGCAGCGTCACCCAAGCACATGCTGAACTGCTGTAGTGGTGATTCCTTGAAATAAAAAACAAGCATGCTCTTCTGCAGAGGTAACCCATATGAAAGGATGTTGCACACGGCTTCCAGGTTCTTATATTATTTGCTGTGTGTTATATATCCCTACTCGTTCTGCATGGACTCAATTTCTCTTTCCACCATACCTCAATCTCACCAGTTTTTGTGTGAAACCTTCCTAACCGAGCAGCTCAGCAGAACTCCATCAAATCATAGGTACATTTAAAATGGAACTTGAAATTGAAAGACCAGTCTTACCGCTGTATATCTGTTTTCATATGTCTGAGAAAGGGTTATCTGAGATAGTTACAGTGACTGACTATACAAACAGAAGTATAAGATGCCTGTTCTCACTCATGCCTATAGTTCTGCCTTCAGTTTTGTCTGAAATCTATAGAAGTTCTTTCTTCTGTTTTGTAGCTACTGGACTGGTGAAACAGGAACATGGTAAAATATATGAGCAGGGCAATTGAGAACATATTCTTCTGTTCATTTGAAGTTCTGGCAAGAAATGTTCACAATATATTACAAATGACAGGAGTCCACGGATTAAATAAAAAATGAATAAGCAAATACATTATTATACCTAGGCACAAAATCAGCCCAGAGGCTGCCAAACCAGTGAAAGTAAAGAGTTTGAAAAACAAGATATTTAAAGTTTTTCTGGTTTTGTTTAAGGCATATTTTGAGAATGTGGTATGTCTTTTTATAGTGAGTGCTCTTCCCCATCAGCAAAGGAGGGATTTGTTTTAGTTTTGGCGTTCTTGTACCTTATGTATAGCAAATGAAGAGTGCACCCCTGGTTTAGTGCAGGCAACCCTGAATGAAAACAGAGAATATGGTTTTTGAGTAGTCAAGTAAGCCTGTACCCTCTGACATGAGGCTGATGACAGTAATTTTGTATATGATAAAGGACTGTCACCAAGGTCACTAGACTATTCCCATAGCTTCTGCACAAGACCTTCCTTGTACCCATGACATCAACTTGTGGGTATAAAAGGCCCGTTCCTAGGTTCTTGTTATCCCAGTGGTCAGTCTGCTTGAGAATCTGAACACGTCATTCATTGCCCTAAAGAAGACCCGCGAATATTATATTACTTCCTTTGGAAACCAGAAAAAGCTTTCAGGAATAAAGCAGGCTCGTATCCTTCCAGGTGCTTAGCTCCTCATTCCCAGTAAAAAATATTTCTTCAGTAAAAACTGGAATTGTGCACTCAGACATCATCAGTAACCCTGTGCCTCAATTCTTTGCTGGATATAAGGACAGAGAAGCCTTCTGGTACCTCTTTAGATAAAGTCATGTTTATCACAGTAAGAAATTGATGCTACAAGGACCTTCATTCTTATGAACTGAAGCTGGGTTGCCTGTTTAATGAAAGACTAGGAAACTACCACAGTTTATTCCATCAAAGTCTGTTTAGGTCTATAAAACTTGAACTGACATATCTTTCAAGAAGATTGCATTTTCTCTGAGTGATCAAGAGAGAGATGACAGGTGCAAGTTCTTTCATAGAATGAAATATAGAATGAGAAGAACTTGTTACCAAAAAGTTAAAACTGGAGGAAAAAAAGGATGCAATGAAAGATGTCTCATTGAAACCAAGAGTTAATGAACTTAGGGTGTTTCACAATCAGCTGGGGGCTTTGAGCCAATAAGAAGCTTCTAGTTAGAAGAAATCTCAGGAGTTTGTTTACTGATTAGAATAATGACACAAGCAATTTGATGTGTCATTTACAAGACAGAACTCCACAAGTTAATTCTTATGGAGAGAATCCTAGAACGTTTTTATTAGAGTTTTCAGAAGTGCGTAAATCTTAAAAAAGACTATCACCCACACAAGTAAAATCCCAATATTTTGCCAGCATTAATTTATAAGAGAGACCACCAAATGTTTTCTGAATCTCTCAAGAGAAAGTGAAAACCCCTTTGCTTATTTTGCCAAGTTATGCCTATTTTTGTGTAAGCCTCACTCTTGGCCAAGCCTGTTCCCAGGACCTGGCCCTGTGGAGGGTTAGTACAGAAGCTCCACAGAGCTTCACAGGTACAAAGGTGGACCATGACACTAGGAATAAAGTGGAAGCACTAATTTTTGCTATGAAGAAATGTCAGGACACATATGATATATTTTCCTTAAAGATCCAAAAAAAGCGAAGCTCTAAAAATATGGTTTCCTTCATCAGACACCCACAGTATACACTGGGAAACAAAATATGCTGTGGCTAATTGAACCTAGGAGTAGTTTAAACTAAACAAATTGAAATTCAGTGGTGATGACAGAAAAATTCAAGCATAGGCTCCAGAGTGTCCTTGCAGTGTCTGCTGGCCAAGGGCTAGCATAGCAAGCTTAACTGCTTTCTTGTAGCCAGTGGATGATATTTAAAACTCTGTCAGCCACAGAAGTCACCTTTACATAAAGCAGGATAAAAAAAAATAGCAACTATAAGGCTTTGATTTTTCTCCTGAAATATCACAGACAGAAATATAATATCAGAGACAGTCTACTGGACGACAAGTGTGTGCCTAAAAGAGAGTGGGGAGACAATCAGCTGCTACTGGTTGTGACTCTGCTTCAGTATGAGGCTCGCTGGGACTAAGCACAGGTTTGGGAGCATTATCAGACCTGTCTGACCTCATGTGCTGTGTGTCAGCCTCACAGCTGGTTTCCACCTCAGGCTCCTCAGCAGCCCACATGTTTTCAGACCATTGCCATGGCCTCAGTCCTGCTTTGGGACCAAACACAACAGGCATCATCAGTTAACCAATCCTTTAATCTACTCTGAGATTACATGAGAGAGGCACAAACACAGCTTGGTCCAAAGGGAGCTGGAAAAGAGGGAGTAAGTCACTGAGCAGATATTTATGTGATGGATAAATAGTCCCATGGAGTATATGGCTCCCTCCATTTCATCCAGACAGCTATACTGACCCTTTTTTGTCTAGAACCCAGATGTTGGTGTCTTCATGGGTCGTTGCTGATACTCACCATTTCCACAGAGCTTTTGAGTGAAATGGAGAGCTTCAAAGAGACATATTTCAGATGCTTTTTATGGAATTGGGTGGAAAACAGCAGGGTGTGATTGGTCATCAGCATTTTTCATGCACTCCTCTATCATTTTGTATGTGCTCATGCGGATTTGGCCTTGCTTCTCTGCCAGAGGAATCTCAACAGAGAGTATGTGTTTCTGAGGAGGATCAGGGGAGAATCTGGCTCACAGAGCTGTTGTTAATGAGGCTTGAGAGGTCGTTGTGCCTGAAAGAAGCATAGATGTGCCCGGGAGAATCCATCAGCCACCAAGAACCAGACTTCATCCTTGAGGAAAGCAAAAAGAAAGTCCCTGAATGCTTTTGATACCTCATTAGTTTTAACAGTTTTTTCATGAGTTTATTTCTGCATCCTGGGAAGCGGAGTTTCATCAGGTGCTGGAGCAGTTTGTGCTAGGAAAATGGCATTTTGCCTCCAAGTTCAGAGCCAAGAACACTGTGTAAAACCCCAGCACTTTTCATGTTTTATGAAACCAGATGAGATGGAGTAAATCTGCTGCTTTGTACTTTCACTTTCTTTCTCTTCAAAAATGATCTCCTAAACTCCCTGAGGACAGCACCCATCTGTAAATGCCATCTGAGCTGAAGCATAGTCGTGTGGGAATGTAGGGGTGGCAGTTCTGTGCAGTCAGAAAAGAAGAACTGAAATGCATTCGGCAGTGCTCATTTAGTTCTCACTTAGTTCTCACTAGCTGGCCAAACAGAAAGCTGTTTCCCCTGTTGTCCTGATAAATTATTTGAGTTCCCACCAATCCACTTCAGAGGGCCTCAGTTTTCCCTAATAGCATAGAAATCCACAGCTGTGTAGACCTGACCATCTCCACTCAGATTCCCAAGGGGTCTGGACTCACAAAGGGATTATATTGATCTGGGACAAATATCCTGCATAACTCTGGTACTTTCTGCCCAAACATGCTTCTACTTCTAAGCACACATCAGACCTGATTTTTTTAATTACCTCATTCTTCACAAATGCTTGTGGAGGAGTAGATTGTCCAGCAGTTATAAAGACCTTTATGGAACCTATTTTTTAATTCAGATTTATTTCCTAAGTTAATGGCAATGAAGTCATGGTCACAAAATAAAAACTACCAACCTTGGGATTTTGGTATTTTAATCAGTGTCTGACTGCTGGATGAACATTAGATTGCATTCTTGGGAGATTATGCCTAACAGGAATGCAGTTTTGGTGGCTGGTTCAAGGTGGCATCGTTTTGAAATAGTTGTAAGATCTAAGGCACTAATTTAGAAAAATGAACCTGCAGTAGTTGCATGAAAACAAATAACAGCCCTTGGCTTAGCTGTATCAAATTGATCAGAGGATATATTAATTTTCTACATGGATGATTCCTGGTCTTTTTTCAGTTCAGCCAGCTCCCTCATAGCCTCTCTGCCCAGTCTTTCAAGACTTTGCACATATTATTCCTTTATTCACATTGAATTTCTTGAGTTTTTTCATTTAGTATGAGCTTCACTACGTATGAACTTTGTTTCTGATTGTTCAGTGACAGTGAATATATATTTTTAAAAAGCTAATATGCTTCTGCATAAATATGTTTATTAATAAATTAAGTCTACTTTTTTCAAGTGTCTGCTGTGATTGATATAACAGGAAAATTGATGGGCATCAGAGCTATCAAGTCAGCATATATTTACTCTTTTAAAAATAAGTTAACCACTTGGCCCATTTCTGCTTTCTCTGGATTTGCTGATGCCTGCATCAGGGTTTTCTGTCCTGCATCCATGCAAGGTTCTGAATTTTTGTCTCTCTTGAAGTTGCTTCATTATTCATCAGTGACCGTGTGTTCATGGAGACGAGACCTTCAGCATCTCACAGGAGACCACCCCTCCCAGTCATTAGGCTCCTGACAACCCTACCTTTCACTTTCTCTCTCATTAGTCCTGTAGGCATTTGTTTATTCCATACAAACTAACCATGATAATCCCAGAGCTTTATAAATACTTGGGGGGCCAAGGAGGAGCATTCTTCTGCACTAAGTTACTGAACCACATTGTGGTTGTGTCAGTGTGATGCCCCACGGAGAGGAATGTGAAATTGCACCATAACTCCCTTCTTGGAGAAACATGATGCATGAGAGCTTTCGTCTCAACATGGAGCTGGGCCAGGTTTGCATCAAGACCTGAGAGTGAGACATTCTCGCAGGACTCACAGCTGAGACACAGCATATGTTCCTCAAGTGCTTGGGATCAGAGCAGGATTTAAATCTTCCTGCAAGTCAGGGCTGTCCTGAGTTTATTTCTTCCCATGGTAAATATGCAGACAAGCTGTTAATTATAAATTTTGTTGTTCCGATAAATTGTACCTAATGACAAGAACAGAGTCTAATATACAAAGGCATTACATAATCAACCAACTGAGTATAATGGGCCTATACATTTAGATTTCAAGGCTTAGGTGAGTAAGATCTTGCACTTTAATTAGCACGTAACATAGCAATTTGGCCCACTAAAATACTGTTTGTGAGCAACTTGAAGCTCAAGGTAAGAGTATCAGGATCTGCTTTGTGGAGAACTGTCTCAGCATTTCTGTACAGACAGCTGTGTGTCTCTGTAGGTACAGGCTGAAAGCACTCACATATGTCACTTCTTTTGCAGGTGGTGAAATCAAATCCCTCTGAAGAAAGTCCGCACATAACAATGACACTGTCAAGGCACTATACACTGGGGAAATATTTCGGCAGTCAAAGCAAGCCATCACAACTGCAGGACTACACAACAAATTCTCAGTCCCCATATCATGTCCGAGGTCCAATAAATCAAGTTTATTCTGAAATCCTTCTCAGCAGGCTCTGTGCAAGTAAGAGGGAGCTTGTCAGCATGTAACCTCTCTTGGATGCTGGGACTATACATGTGCCACTGCCTGAGTGAAAATTGAAGGACCATGGTGAATTTATGACATGCTTCCTTGATTGACTGCACACACATCAACAGAGTTTGGGACACATTTTTCCTAAATCTTCATTAAATCAAGACATGCCCTGTAAACTCTGTGGTGTCAAAATGGAAGATGGAGGGTTGCAAAGGAGAGAAGAGTGGAACTTACTTGAACTGTTGCCAAAGGCTAGAACAGCTGTAGCTCAAACAACTGTGTGTTAATGATAGTAAAGAGAGAGAAATATATACACTTGAATGACTTGGAAAGGACTGCTTTAGCGCTTCACCATTATCTGATTTTCTATTTATAGAGACACCGTAATATTTTAATGCATTTAGAAACTGGCTACATTCCATTTTAAAGAGTTTTATTTTATGTGGATGGGTTCCTCTTCAATATCAAACCTTTTCTATTTAGGCACTTGGTTTATACAATTTGAAAATGTGTCTTAGGATTTTACTGATGATGCCAAGTTTTGAAGTCTAGTGTTTTTAGTGAAAACACACCCCTTATTTGTGTCTTAGATGGAACAGATGTCTGGTCTATTTTTTATATGTTCTAAAGCCAATACAGACATAGATTACTTAGTCTTGAGACTGATTATAACTGTCTCGACGTAACATGTAAATATAGTGAATATGTTAACATAACCTTGTTTATGATCTCAGTTTAGAAGAGTGGCCATATGCAGGAAGACTGCTTAGATATGTGCTTCAGTGTCTGCTTTGGCCTGTAAGCCAGGCAAGTATTCTCCCTTCACAGAAGTGCCATTTATTTTATTTTTTTTTATAAAATAATTGCCAATGTGTGAAGCCAGTACTACAAATGGAAGAAAAGTCCCCTTTGCAAGTGTACATAAGAACTTTGGGATCTGGTTTTTAATCTGTCATGAGGAGTGTGTGATGTGACGGGAGCAGAATATACTGCCTACATCTCATGCTTGGCAGGGACAAGACCTACTCTGAACACCAGTTTCTTGCTGTAGCCCAGCTACATCACTGATGTTTGCAGATCTACTGTGGGTGAAACCCCAGGGAGGGGCTTTACTGCTGCAGGGGGGAACTGTTTGCTGATCCCCTGCCACAGGGCTGGCAGCACACTCATTCACATTTGTGGTGCCCTGATGGAAAACCAAGCATGGTCCAGGCTGAGCAGCTGGGTGATGGGTTAATGGGATCCCATAAGACTGTCCTCCCTACAAATTGTCCAGTTATGGATTTTTATGAATCCAGTCACGGAGCAAGCAATCAAGGCACTACTCTCTCCCACCATGCACTAGAGAAGAGAGTCAGAACCAGGTAAGTATGGGTCTAACAAAGGATCTGCCGAGCTCTGTGGCACACTTCCCCCTTCACAATTTTACATATAATCCTCCACTAGCTTCTACTGCCTTTGGGAAGGGAAGCCACAAGTAATTTCTGGGAATAAACAAATTATAGCACAGAACTAATCACTATTTTATTGGCTTTAGTAGCATGCAGAGGGGCTGCTCTGTGTAGAAGTAGGGCTAGAAATTCATGATACCACATTCAGGATTTGCCAAAGATCCCTAAACTCAACACAGTCTGTGTCCCCAGCTAAAGTTTTGTGAATTCTTGCTCCTTCAGATAAGATATGTAGGGATATGATGAGAAAGTGTCATGCAGTATGAAATCTGGCTTCCCTAGATGATAGGAGGATCCTCAAAAAGAGGATCTGGCGTATCTAATTTAGGAGACTTTCCACTTTATTGACAAAGTTCCTAATTTAGACACTGACATTACATTTATTGAGACAGTGTGATTATCTCTGTTTCTGTACAATATGCTGCTGCTGTGCTTACAGTAAATGTCCCTGAATTTCTATGTAAGTTTTTCCCTGGCATGGAGCTTTACATGAAAGATGGGTCAGGAGCTGTGCATAAATCCTGAAAATATCAGCATTTGTTTTTGAGCAATATGATTATCTAAGGAATATAATTATATGCAAATGATATAATATATAATCTTGAGTCTGGAACTCCAGGGCTGCACAACCTTAGAGCTGAAGGATTTAATATCATGTCATTAATATTAGTAGATGTAAAATGCAGCCAGGTATCCTTAGTATTATGATGATCAATGATAGGTGTATTACAATTCTGCTTCTGTTAAGATTTTTTTTTGTATCTCATTTAAATCCACATGCTGTTACTGTTATTGTTCCGTACACAAATACTTTTAAGGCATGAACTGGGTTTTCATGTTTGTTTGTTTGTTGTTTTTTTTACTCAAAGCCTATTGCTGAAGCATCAGCTATAATGATAAAAAGGAAAGAGCTGACTTTATTATGCTGTAGCTGATATCAGTGAATGTGCAATTCATCACTTCTGGTTTTGCCACAAAATTGTTTACATGTGCTATACACCCAGATGTCTTAAAGTTTTCCAAATCTTAATATTTTTCAAATGTATCAAGGGGAAATTTTCCTGTGTGTTTTCTATTTTTCACATTTATGTACATATATATGTCTGTACAAAGTCATTGGTACAACTTGCAAATTGATCTTTATTTAAATGAGTTCTTTGAATAAGTTTTTTCCAACACTATATATGATTGAGATAATCTTAGGAATCAACAAAGGGAATGCAGACTAAAACACGTACCAAAGTACATTTTCATTATTTAACTTTAAAATATATCTAGTATCTGTAGGTATGTGAAAGAAGAGAGGCAAGATTGACACGGAAGCGTAGCTTGCTCATACACATTAAAATTTATGGATTAAGACAATAAAAGAATTACCATGTTTGAATTCCAATGAGAGCACATGTGTCGCTAGCAATGGTTTACTCTAGAATTATCACATCTGCTGTGACATTTTTCCTGAATAAGCATTAAAGTGTTCCTACAATATTAAGACTGATTCATAATGCACAACATTTTTCCCCTCATGTATTTACCTTAGTCCTATTACTTACCATTAAAATACAAAGGACCTAGTTGTCAGGGTGAGTTCTGCCTCCTAACACAGACATGAATGGCCTTGGAATTGGTGGTAGGATTGAAATAATGATGTTGGGGAACAAATACACTGAGAAGTGGTGTTCGCTGCTCAACATCTGCCCAGCAGCATGTAGAGTTTAAACTGGAACCAGAATATACTTTAAGCTACAGATAGAGAGACTGAAACTGCTTCAAAAAAATACTCTGACATATAGAGCAGCAATCTCAGCTGTTATTGCATCCTTTTAAACTCTAGCTGAACCTGCAGTATGATGTACCAGTGTCCAATGAGTTATAACTCCTTGTCTCTCACATAACTCCATAGATGTTGAACAGTGATTAGGGTTTGAGCCTTACAGGGTAGATGGCCACTGTGATCAAGTCCATCTCAGTGAGTGTTTTTGGAATAACCGACTATAAAAAAAAAAGATTTTCTTATTTGTAGGGAAGTGCCTTGAAAAGTCAAATCTGTCGTCTGAGATGCTGTATTTCAAATATAGCAAGGAGCTGAAAGAACAGACTATGAATATTATTTTTACACTTAGTGTTCATTTGAAAATGTTAATCTTTATAATAATGTCTTTCACACCATTAGATATAAGGCCTTTATTTTTCTCTTCTGTGACATATTAAAGGGACATCAAAGTCAATTTATTTGCTTAGTGGGTGGGGTACTAAGGCATCCAATTACCTCAAGGTTGAAATAACTACTAATAGTTATGCTTCTGTTGCTATGCTGAGGCAAAGAGAATGCTTTGAAGATGCAGATATGTGTGATATTAAGTTGACTGCAGTCCAGGGATCTTTCAGATTACTTTTTCAGAGTAAAGCAATTTTTTAGAGGTGCAGTAAGCTATTTGGCATAGAGTCAAACTGCTAAACAAGCCTCTGTAGGCTCACATGAAAAGTGTAGTCTTACCTTTTTGTTTGCCTGCTAGCCTTGTGTCTGGCTTGTTTTACCTCACTGTTATGACTATCTGTACCTGCTCCACTCCACATCAGCCTTTCTTTCAGATGACCTGAGAAGTTTCTGTTTCATCGTAGAAGCAGCTTTTGGAAATCTGAGAGATGATTATTGCAAATTCAGGCTGAATCTTCAAAACATTGGTGTTATTACCTTAATGTTTTTATCAATTCCAACAGCAAAAGATCGACTGAGTGCAGCAGGGGCAGAGCAAGCCTCTTCTCTAGGGCTGTGATTCTCTCTGATGAATTTAATACAGCTGTGTTGTGGCAAGTACTTAGTGTGCACTAACACTTAGCTCTTCATGGAGCTTGCCTTTACCGATCCAAACTCCATCTTTCAAACTCCACTGCTATCTTTACCTGTGTAAATCTTCAAAACCCCAGAACAGTCAGTGTATATGCAGACATGCCTGTGTATTGGTACTGGTACCTTCACACTATCCATTGAACAGAAAAGCCCTTACTACACAGGAAGCAGATGCTGTGCATTTCAGCCTTACTCACCTGTGGTCTGGGGGTACTAAAAATAGTGTTACGTGTGTCAGTCTAGGCCAGTACCTTGATCCAAGTGTCCTAGAAAACTACTCAAGTCATTAACTTGAATGGGCAAGATGGGCCCGTAGGGTCACAACAGGGGATCCTGCAGCACCAGTTTCTGTTGCAATGGCCTTCTCCCTTTTCTAGGTTCACTCATCTGGCTGCTGGGCCAGCTCCTTGGCAGCTGTGGGCAGCACTTCATGAAGTTCCTCAAACACGTTCAACAGCCTCAGCAAGGTACACCATGTTAAGTAGCCCTGAACTGAAGATAAAATGTATGTTTGAATGAAATCTGAACAGAGGCCTTTGTGAAATGCAGCACCTATGCACCATCTCCTTGATGTCCTCTAGAATTGAACTGCTCTAAGGAGGAGCAGAATTCAGACCCTTTCAGCTGAATCTCAGATAATGGCATCTTTACTCAACTTTTGACAAACTTTTTTCCCACTGTTTCCTCACATGAAATAAAGGGAAGGATTTTC